ATTATATTAATAATTAATAAAATAGCTTACTTCCTAAAATATTAATTTTTTTAAATAAAAATTAAATTAATTTTACAATAAAAAATATAATTAAATATTAATTACTAATAAAAATTAATTACAATCTAAATTATTAATTATTTTATTAATAAAAATTTGGTTAAACTTTAAATTATAATTAAATATTAATAATTATTATAAATAACTTACTCCCTAATAAATTTTTTTTAATAAAAATTTAATTTGTTTTACATTATAGTAAAAAATATATTAAAATACTAATAATTAATAAAAATAATTTACAACCTATAATATATTAATTTTATAAACTAAAATTTAGTCATACTTAATTAAAATAAAAGTATAATTAAATTATAATTAATATAAATAACTTAACATCTAAATTTTAAATAATAAATTTAGTTAAACCAAAATTACAGTAAAAAGAGTATAATTAAATACTAATAATCAATAAAAATAACTTACTATCTATTGTATTATTAATTATTAATTATTTTTTAAATAAAAGTTAGTTGAATTCAAATTATAGTAAAAAGTTTAAGTAAATATTAATAATAATAAAAATAACTTACCATCTATTATTAGAAATTTTTTTAAATAAAAATATAGTTAAATTTAAATTATGTTAAAAAATATAAATAATTAATAAAATAACTTACCCTCTAATATTAATTATTTATTTAAATAAAATTAAATTATAGAAAAAAAGTATAATAAAATACTAATAATTAATAAAATAACTTATGTTTTAATAATAATTTATTTTATTTAAATAAAAATTTAGTTGAATATAAATTACGATAAAATATAATTAAATATTAATATCTAATAAAAATTACTTGTTAATTAATAATAATTTATTAATTTAAATAAAGAATTTAGTTATATTTAAATTATAATAAAATATATTATTAAATATTAATAATAAATAAATAAATTACCATCTATTATATTAATTATTAATTATATTTTTTTAAAATAAATATAAATTACAATAAAAATATGATTAAAACTTATAATCAATAAAAATAACTTACTATCTATTATTTATTAAATTATTTATTATTTTTAATATAAAAATTATAGTAGAAAAGTATAATTAAAAATTAATTATCAATAAAATAACTTACTTATTAATAATAATTTATTTATTTAAATAAATATTATTAAATATAAATCACAGTAAAAGTATAATTAAATATTAATGTTAATAATTAATATAAAAAATTTAACTTCTATTATATTATTAATTTTTAATTATTTTTTTGAATTATTAAATTTTTGAATTCAAATTATAAAAAATATAAATTATTAATAAAATAACTTACCTATTAATAATATATATTTATTTAAATAAAATTTCTAATTGAGTATTAATCGCAAAAAAAAGTATAATTAAATATTAATAATTAATAAAATTAATTTACTTACTAATATAATTTATTTTTTAAAATAAAAATCTAGTTAAATTTAAATTATGATAAAAAAATAATAATTATTTATTTAAATAAAAGTTAAATTATAATATTAAAAAATATATATAAATACTAATAATTAATAAAATAACTTATTACTTAATAATAATTATTTTTAAATAAAAATTAGTTGAATTTAAATTATAACAAAAAGTATAATATAATTAATAATTAACTTATATACTAATAATAATTTATTTATTTAAATTTAAATTATGGTAAAAAATAAAAAAATTAATAAATTAACTTACTGATTAATAATAATTATTTATTTAAATAAAAGTTAAATTATAATATCAAAAAGTATATTTAAATACTAATACTAATAATCAATAAAATAACTTACCACTTAATTATAATATTTTTAAATAAAAATTAGTAAAGTTTAAATTATAATAAAAAGTATAATTTTCATATTAATAATTAATAAAAATAACTTGTGCACTAATAAAATTTAATTAATTAAATAAATAATTTAATTAATTTTAAATTACAATAATAAGTATAATTAAATACTAATTATTAATTAAAGATAACCTATATTTTATTGTATCATTAATTATTTTAAATATTTTTTAAATTAAAAATTAAGTTGACTTTAAATTATAAAAAGCATAATTAAATACTAATAATAATAAAAATAACTTACCATCTATAATTTTAAACAAAATAATATTTAGTTAAATTAAAGTTATAGTAAATGTATTTTTAAATACTAATAATCAATAAAACAACTTATTTTCTAATAATAATTTATTTATTTAAATAAAAAATTAATTATATATAATTTATAGTAAATGTATAATTAAATAATTAATATAAATAACTTACTACCTATATATTATTAATTATTAATTATTTTTTTAAATAAAAAATTTAATTAATTTAATTTACAATAATAAATATAATTAAATACTAATAATCAAAAATAATTTATCATCTAATTTATTAATTATTATTTAAAATAAAAATTTAGTTAACTTTAAATTATAGAAAAAGTATAATTTAAATATTAATAAACTATAAAAATAATTTGATAATCTAATAGTAATTTATTATTTAAATAAAAATTTATATGGTTTAAATTATAGTAAAAAGTATAATTAAATATTAATAATTAAAAGTAATTTACCTTCTATTATATTATTAATTATTAATTATTTTTTGAAATATTTAATTTCTTAAATTTAAATTATGTTAAAAGCATAAATAATTTAATAACTTACCTTTTAATAATTTTTATTTATTTAAATAAAATTTTAATGATTATTAATTACAGTAAAAAGTATAATTAAATACTAATAATTAATAAAAATAATTTATTTTCTGATAATAATTTATTTATTTAAATAAAATATTTAATGAATTTCAATTGTGGCAAAAAGTATGATCAAAAACTAAAATAAATAAAATAATTTACTATCTATTATATTTTTAATAAGAAATTTAATTGAGTATAAATTAAGTAAAAAGTATATTTAATTAATAAATATCTTACTTTCTGTAATATTACCAAATAATTTAATATTTTAATTTGAATTATAATAAAATTAAAATTAATTTAATTAATAAAAATAACTTACAAACTAAATTAATTATTAATATTTTATTTTAATAAAGTTAATTAAATTTAAATTATATTAAATTATATATTAACTATAAATTATTATCAAATTAACTTACAAACTAAAATATTATTAGTCATTAAAAATTTTCATTAAATAACTTAGTTAAGTTTAAAGGAAAGTAAGAGAATAAAAGTAACTTACTCTTTATTTTATTTATTAATTATTAATATTATTAACTAAAAATTTAATTAAATAAACTAAATATTTAAAAAAATTAAATGGCTTACAACTTAAGTTTATCAATAATTTTTTTTTTTTAAAAAAATATATAATAAATTCATTGTAAATAGATAATCGATAGATAAAAGTTTTATTACTATTTAGTTCTGATGATTTAGGAGCAAGAACATTTGAAACTGTTCCAATTATTATATCATAATCTAAATGTTCTTTACCATCTAATACTTCTATGTTTTGAACAATAATTAACAGATCAAATATAATATTTATCAATTAATTAAATATGTAATTGTATTTACCTATACTTAAATCTATAGTAAATAAAAAGATAATAATTATTATGATATTTATCACTCAAGGTTAGTTCTATATTACAATTTTTAGTAAACAAATTAACGAATTATAGCATTAAATATGGTTTATATACATAAACATTACCTTTTATTTTTTTAAATGAGGAAGCTTTCTTATCACTAAATCTGGCTCTAATATGAATTTTGTTTTTTTATTTAAAAAAAAAAAAAATTTAGAATCGATTTAGGCACGTAAAGTTTCAGCTTTTTATTCTTTTTTTAGGCCTTTTATGCTTATACTATTGCTATAAAGCCAAAGCCATCTATAAAATTAAAAGAAATAATGTTCCTGATCATTTAAATCCAAATTGTACAACGATAACTAGGGTTGACTCAGAATTTCTTTTAAGGTCTGGTTGTGCGTTAAAAGAAAATAAGTAATCTTAGTTAGGGATGGTAACGGTCGGTCAAAGGCTTTTGACCGACCGACCGGTTAACTGACCGATTTTAACTGGCCGGTTGACCGACCAGTTAATAGTAATTTAATTGAGCAGTTTTGGCTTAATAGAAAGTTTTATTTAGCCAAATATTACAATTTTGATTCTTGCTTTAACAATTCTAGCATGGCATGTTTATAACCACTTTGTCAATCTTTTAATGGTGCAGCATTATCGCAGATTTTAAATTTTTTTCAAAATTTCAAAATTTCAAAATTTCAATTTTAATTATAGATAATCATAATTATAATAAAATGTTTGAGTTTGTTAATTTAACACATAGTGTTTTACTATTTAAAACATGGTTGTCAGTCTCAGAATCGGTCGGTCAACCGGTCGGTCAGAAGCCTTTGACCGACCGATATCGGTCACGGTCATGACCGGTCATGACCGTGACCATTATCATCCCTATATGAAGGTGTTGAAACGTTCTCTTTCAGCCTTGTTTAGTGAAAGATCATTTCTCTAAAAATAATATAGGATAGTTTAACAAAGTCATAATGATTATTACTACATTTTACTGTATGAGTATGTTTGAGTAATCAATCACATTTTGTACTCACAAGGTTGCACTCCTCAAAAATTTCTCGCCAATATCTTTCCAAACCGTCACGTTCCTTTTGCACCTATTGAGAGAGAGGATTGATTGTTAGTGTGCAGAATTTATTTAGGATAAAGAAGTTACATAGCAAATTCCCTTTCATCAAGAATCAGCAGACTTTAGCAACGACAAAATGAACAAAATTAACTGTATAAACAGGGCGCCCGTACAGAAAAAACTGGGGATGGTTACCAGAAATCGCAGTACAGTAATTCTCGTAAGGGATCAATGATCCAATAGGAGTTACCCTTCCTCTTGCAAAATAAAATCAACCCACCTTATAAAATAAAGCTTCATAATTATTTTTATCTAGCAACAAGTATGCTGCTTTTAAAGCGGTTGAACCAATAATGATCAAGGTTCTTCCAAGAAGTATTTGAGGAAGAGCTAAGAACTACTTCTTGGAGACGGAAGAGGAAACCTTGAAAAGATTTAATTGCTTGGTTCGTTAAATAGGAGACGAGTTCTAGGAAGTTGAAAATTAGTTAGAAACCGAATTTTTACTAAGTCAATTGCAAAGTTATATAAGAACTTACCATCGTATCCCGGATAAGTCTGGTGAGTTTCTTCATCACGAGTTCCTTCATCATAATCGACGCGAGTTTCTTCAGAAATGGACATCTTTTATAATAGTTTCTTCTTCTGAATTTTAGTGGAGAAGTGTAGTTTCAGTTGCTTTGGTAGAGAGAGATTGGTGAAGAGGAAGGAAAAAAAAAAGCGTATGCTTTATATATATCCGATCAGGTCGCGTAATGATGACGATCGCGAGTTTATTTATAGTGTACGTCATCTATACCATGGTCAAAATAATTTAGGCCACATCAGGAAATTTTTGACGAGTTCCGTATAGTATTTATTATATTTACGATCGTAGATATAAATAGCTTAGTAATTCTTCGGAGTACTTTGACCGATATGCTTCGCATTCAATAATTTTTGCAAAAAATGTAAATTATAAAAAATTGATACTAAACATTTCATGGAAGCATGCAAAAAAATTATTTCTAAACAGAAATAAATGCGGTACTACACCTCAATAATCTTTTCAACAAAATATTGCAACCGTATCAACAAGACTTAATCAGCAAATTGTACACGGGTATTTTTGGAAATGTTAAGTGATTAATGATTCTTTAAAGTTTATAATTAAATTAATATATACAATTTCATATTAATAAATACGGAAAATATACTCAAAAACAATATACATTAAAAAATCCGTTGATTTAAAATAATTCGATAGTTATATTATATATTTAACTGCATTTTTCTTTAATAGGGGGAAAATACCTTTTCATATACTGAATAAGGCTTTCATAGGAGAAATAATTATCGCCAGCGGCATTGAAATTTATTTATCTGAACATCTTGAACATCTGATTCGCATTCTATTAATTTTCAACTATCAAAGCTTTCATAAAACGTGTAATTTATTTTATTTAGTTATTAGAAATATAAGAATCTTAAGATATACTATATTTATCATAAAATGAAAAAAGTTAAATTTATTATCATAAAAATATTTAGCAATCAATTGTGGCCAATAAAATTTCTTATTATTGTATTTTTATTTTTTTTATTTTTTTTAAAAAAAAAAGAGATCATAACAAACCTGCTTTGTATTTCTTCGTTTAAATAAAGAAGCCACAATTCAATTTAGTCCGTTGAATCAAAGGTACAGTACAATACAATTATCATAACCAATCTTATATACATGACGAAGGAAAATAGCTTATGAATTTAACAGCCATTTTCCTTTAAAATAAAAAAAGAAGCTTAGATATTTGTAAAAAAAAAAAAAAAAATAGACTTTTCAGAGATGGTTTGAATAATAAGATTTTATATCTTGTTAGTAAACGATAAAATTCAACTTCAAATCATAATTAATTTCTAAATATTGCACATTTTTATCTGTAACTTTCCTTCCTTTATAATTCAAAACGATAAAGACAGAAGTTCCTTTTTATATTGTTACCCAAAAATCGAAGTTTGTTACAGCAAGTTGTATACTCGCAGAAATATTGGGTCGTGCTCAAAGTAACAAGTGATCGAATCGGAACTATTTGCCTCGATACGGATTATTAAACATTCGGAAAAAACAAACTCGCAATGGTAAGTGAAATAAAAATTTAAACCTAGTTGATATATAAATGAATATATTTTATGTTTCTAAGTATCATCATATACCAAGCGAACATGAACTTCATCTAAGGCAGTGATGGAAAATTATAAGGTCATTTAATATTTTTTTTTAAATGACCTCGTTGGTAATTCTGGATAGTGTTCTATTTTTAGAGTAATATGGGGAAAAATGATGGTGCGCTCCGGATTTAGGAACGATTTCATTATCCAGTCAAGTTTAATATAATTAATATACTTTGTTAATATGAATATTTTTCAAGCGGATTCGAACACAAAAAACTAATTGTAATTTGTCACTATGAATAGAAAATGAGGAGATAAATTGATTTCACGATCAATTTGATACATAAAAGTACTAGACTTGAAATAAAATGTAACATCATAAGATCAAATTATGCAATATGTCGCAAAATGATTTTTTTTTTGTTTAATTTCTACTTTTGTATTAACAAAAATCTAATTTTTTTTTTTTTTTTCAGGTCCTTTCAAAAAATAAAATATTCTTAGAAAAACTATTGTTCTATAATCATCGGATCAAATTGCCATTTTTTCTAATGTCTTGGCATCGGATGATCAACAAATAAACAACGCCGATATACATAAAGTATAAATTTAATTTTTGCGTAACAATCATATTTTTTTTTTTTTTGGTATCTTTTTCTTGTACACAAAGTTAATCACATGATCCTCAGCTTAACTAATTATTAATAATTATAATCGATATAGATATTTCCTATTTTCATTTTGCACGAATATACAGTATGTCTATTATGTATGGACAAAAGCATTATATTTCCATTCATAAATAACAATATTCTTTGTATTTTTTAATCAAATTTAATATTGCTATAAAAAGAGCCTTTTTATTTGGCGTTCGCGATAATCCTATATTCATTGTTTGATTCAAAAAGGTTTTTATTTCTTACGAGAAGTTACGCCTTCAAAATCATTGTTACATTCATCAATTCCCATTGTCGTTACAAAAAAAATAACGAAAATATAGCAGGAAAAAAAAATAGAATTTTTTTTTTTTTTTATTCATTTGATCTCAGTATTTTTTGATTATACAAATATATAATCAGTATTGACCGATTATTTTCTTTCAATCAAAACATTAAATCACCTTTTGATTTTTAGATTCAAAGATAAGCAAATTTTTTAAGAAAATGAGGCGCTTTAATATTTACATAGTGTTTCCTTGATCGCTACATTATTAACGATTAAATAAAAAAAAAAATTAAAATAAAATAAATTAAACTCGCACTTTAAATGAAATAATAAATTCCAAATCCGGTTGTGACAGGACACACCGTTACTACTCGTAATTGTTGAGATGTCGCTTAAAAAGTAGATTTCTGCATGGATAAAGTATTCATGTCTAAATTATTTTTTTGGAAAGATGTTCTGAACTCTGTAAAATAACTAATTTTTTTTTTAAAAAAATATTAAAATATTAGATGAATTAAGGAAAAATGTGCGCCGATCAATTAAGAAAAATCAGAAGAATCAAAAAAAAAATAAAATAAAATAAAAATAAAATAAAATAAAAATGGGTATCTACTTTCAACCTTCGCTATAAATTTTAACGCGATTGTTCTTTCTAGAATTCTCAGAAATTCAACTCATATTAGTTTTTCAAGTTTGATCACATATTCCATATTCTATATTTTATATGTATTATAAAATAAATAATAGTGCTAGGAATTTATATTTTAATTGAATTACGGCTTGCCAATTAACAAAAGACAATTGGAAAATTATGTAAAATCATTTTTAAACATAGTTCTTTATTCATATTTAATTTTGTTTTCAATCACAAAGAATTACTCAAGGTTACCTGTTTTTGAACCGCAAAGATTTTTTTTCGATTTGAATTAGCTGTAAAAAACTTTATTAGTCAAATCTAATCCAAAGTAGGATTCACTTAATACATGAAATCATAATCATTAAAAGGAAAAATTCATAGATTAACAATTTATCCTTTACGCGTGAGTCTTGTCTGCAATTATTATCATTTCGAAAATAGAAATTTAACAAATGCACAATGAGAAAAGGTATATTATTTGATTCTCATTATTGCAAATATTAAAACGTACTATACTTTACTCTTCAAATGAAATAAAAGAAATTTTTAAGCTCTACTCTTAATTTTGTATACAAACAAATAAAAAAATTTTTTTTTTGAAAAATAAGTTTTAAGAATTTTCTTGACCTTGGCATCGTCATACAGTCAACTCCATTGGAATTACGTGAACGTCAAAACTCACTTACCGATTTTAAAAGTTGCGATGGCGCTTATCCAGTCACAAGTAATACATGCACCTACTATCCAAAACCTGTTATCTTTGGCAATCTTGCTTTTGGTTCGCTGGTGTGGCAAATGAATCTGTTGAAAAAGGTGCAATAATGAGGTTTTATCACGAGCAAAGCGGGAAAGTTGAACATGAAGCAGATTTTGTAAGGATTTAGCTGAACAAAGTGAATTCACATGTCAAGTTGAGGTGGAATTTCGATTTGACCACAATATATTTTTGGAAAGTTCTTATGAAGAACCTAAAAATGTTAAAACGAAATTTTACGTATGTATGAACCGATGTTTATATACTATATAATTTTTTTTAAAACAAAAATAAAAGATTTTAAACATTAATTTATTTGTTAGTTTCTAACCCGGATGGAAAAATCATGTCTTGTCTTGAAGGATATGCAGATTTACCACCCCTAATCATCTATTTTTTAGTCTAGTGTCTCTATGTATGTCTTTACGATTATATAAGTTTTGAATTTTTTTATATATGTCAAAGACTAAAAAAAATGTAATTATAATGACAATAGTTATGAATTAAATAAAGGTATGATTGCACCAATATCAATTCTTAATTTATTATGAACGCAATAAATTTTGATTGATATATACAGTAGATATAAATATCTTTATTATAATTTCTAATAATAATATTACAAAAATCCGTTCTTTTAATTCGCTTTGACTATAAACGAAAATCACGGTATACCGTCATTTTAAATAAATTTGTAATTATGTAATTGCTGCATGAACTGCAATTATATTTGGTATTATTAAAATCGTTTTAAATATAGTTTATAACTCATATTTGCTTTTAATAACTAAGAACTTTCTAAGTAAGGAAGCTCTACTATTAATAAAATAACGAGGTAATTCAGATAATCTGATATCATTATAAATTTACTGTATATGGAAATCCGGCTTTACACAATAATGAGGCAAATATGTCCTGCTGCCAAAAATTCCCACCAAAAAAAAAAAAAATGCATGATGCAAGTTGGCTGCGCTGCTTATTAAAGAAATTAAACAATAACGATTGAAAAATTTAATCAATCGTAATCTGATTTCATTTACTCAAGTTTTTCATTTTTCGAATATAAAACCAGCGTCGTTTCGCCTTCGTTATTTTTTTTTTCTTAACTTTCAATCATCTACAAAGTTTTAAAGCTCCTTT